TTTCATGTTTCTTACTCTCTAAAAATTGAATTTGCTATATATGATAGATGTTTTATTAACATCAGAACTTACAATTTTTATAAACTAAATAAAAGGGACAAATCCAATTAGCTACTTCTAATAAATTAACTTTTTTAGCAAATATGTATTTGTTGAATCTATTGAATAAGAATAAAATTAAAAATTAAGTAGCAAAGTAGGTTAAACAAGTTTATTGATAAATGGAGGAGGTGTTTTAGTGTCAATAATCGTTACTCAAATTATATTTGCATCTGTCATACTAGTTAATAAATATTTAAATAAATAAAGGTTCTCATATAGTAAATTAACATAATTAAAACTATTTTCAAACTACCAAAAACTAGCTTGCTTCATTTCCTTTATTATTAACGAGCTAATTCTTTTAGTTTCAAGTTATGCAATTTTTCTACAATTAATTGGATTTTTAAATGCAATTGAAGTGAATTACAAGGCTTTAAAAATTGTCCTTATTTTCATCCTTTCAATCTATTAGCTTTTGTGCTTAATCTATTATATAAGATTAATTAAATGTTCTAGATATTAAAATACTAGTTATTGCTAAGAACTAAATTAAAATATATACTTAATATCATACAAAAGCCACTTAATAAATCTTTTGTTAGAATAGTTTATTAAAAAATAAAATTTTACAATTTACTTCCCAATTTTCTTTTTTGCTATTGAAAATGTTCTTATCCCTTTATCTATAATAATGTTTTACCATAGTTATTTAGTTTAGTTAATTTTATGCTTAATATTTTAAACAATACTGTGTATTTGCTGCATAGTTTTAAGGCCTTGCTTTTAATTGCTAAATAATGTTAGACTGATAATAGATTAAATATGTTGGGTTCTAATATTTATATTTATGATAGTTCTTGGAATTTTATAAGACAGATCAGATCAAAATCCTAATTAAAATGTTGAGAATATTTAAAAAATTAGTAAATGCTTAATAGTATTAATGATGATAGCATTGTATATTAATCCTTTTACTTAAATCCTTAACATTATTATAGCTTTATATAAATATTTAAAAGATTAATATGATAAGTACTAAGAAAAGAAAAAAAAAATTATCTAGTATTAAAATAACGATTATTAAATTTAAACTTACTTAGATATTAAATTATTTAAATTTCCTCAATATGACCCTAAGAAAGAACTCAGTATAGTGAAAAAAGAGCTATCTAATTAATTTTACAAATTAAAAGTATCCAAATATAACCTTCAAACTCATTTCAATTAATATAGCGACTAGCTATGATCTAATTATTAAAGATAATCTACTTTAAAAGATTGATTATTTTTTCAATTAATTAAAATTTTTAACTTAGTTATTTATAAATTTTTTAATTAAATTGTAAAATTAAAATAACTTTATTTTTGGATAATAATAAAAATTCAATTAAAACTCTATTAAAATTAAACTATATTATATTTTTATTAATTTATATTTTCATGCAAATAATTGTCTAAATATTTCTTAATCAAATTCAATTTTAGTAAATTTTTGTGATTTTCATCTATTTACTAGTGAGTAGATTTATATGAATATTTGAATTCTATATGACTTAGTAGATGATTTATTTGTAAAAGTTTCTTAACAAAAAAAATAATAAATAAAAGATACTCATATTTTTTTCTCACCAAAAATTTAAAATAAATTATTTTATTTATATCTTAATGCTATATTTTTTAATCTCAGATAAATTATGTTTTAAATTATGAAAATAAGTTATCAAATTTATCACATTTATTTTCTTTCTTACAAATTACATAGCGGCTATAGAATAATTTTTTATTAAATATATAATTCTTTTTTTGCTTATTTTTGGCTTAAATTTGAAAGATTTTATCTAAGAAAAGAAAACTTTGAGGGCAATTCTCTTAAAATTTATGGTTAAATATATTTTAATACAGACTTATTCAATTATAAAAATCTATTAAAAAATAATATTTCAAATATATAAACTTTAAAGGTAATACCCATAAATATAAATTATAAACAAGTATAAAATTGAATGTAGTTTAAACAAATTTATCTGTGAAATAAAAAGCAAAAAGATATAATTTAATATTTTAATCAAAATTATTCTAAATTTAGATTATTTTTTATTCCAATTATTAATTTAGTTAATTAGTTAAATCAAATAATAATTTATGCAGATAAATATATAACCTTCTACATAAAAATGTAATTTATTGATAATCTAAAAAGCTCAATAAAATATTACCTACTTATATAATATTATTATGCTTAAAAAACTAATAAATTTGTCTTTGATTTAGTTAAAAATAAGGGCTCACAAAAATATGATAATTTATAAAATTTAAATCTGAAAAAAGATTAAATTCAAATGCTTAATAAGAGGAAGTCTGTAAAATAGTTCTTATTGGATTAAAGAAGAATTATTTTAACTAAATAAAAAAAGTTAAAAAGCAGTGTTACAAATTTGCAATGAAGATAATAAAATTTAAATAATTCATTCATAATCTAATAACAGCAAAGAAAATTGTATAAATATACTTTAAAACTCAATTTAAGATAATTAATTATTCTAAAAATTCTAAAATAAATAACTTATTTTTAATCTTAAAAGTTTTTTTTTGAAGTAATAAATTTATTTTATACAATTTTATTTAAATTTAAAAATAATTAATTTTATTATGTAAAAATTCAAAATATTTTTCTTTTATAAAATATTAAAAATAATTTATTTTCAATTTATTAAAACTATTTCATTAATGAATTCAATAGAGATATTTATTTTCTAAATCTAATAAAATAAACACCTTAAGATATGGTTTAAAAAAAATAAAATAATAAGTTAAATATTTTTATAATTAATTAAAATATTCCTAAAATCCTTATTAACTAACTCAAAAGCTTTGTAAAATTTGCCCATTTTCATCATCTACATCTATTATTATTTGGAAGGCCCTAATTAATGAGAATTCAGATATATTTATTGATAAAATGGTTCTAACCTCTAAACTAATTAAAATGAGATAATACCAATGAAAAACATGTTTAAAAAGTAATTAGTTAATTAATGCTTGATATTTGAATTATCCTTTTTGAATCAATTAATAAATCATTTAGTTGTTTTATTTGAAGTGAAATCAACTAAAAAAAAAATTTAAATTTCAAGCTATTTTTTCATAATGAATTAGATGTAAGCTTGCCAAATAAATTTGTGTAAGCACTTTCAAAATATAATTCTTATCTTTTTAATTAAAATTTATTACTTAGTCATATTAATCATATAGAAAAATCATTCTGTGTTTCGAGAGGATATTTTATCAAAATCTGATTTATATTTAAAAAATTTTAGATTTTATTCTAAGAGGTGATTAAAAAGTATCAAATTTATACTTTTTTATCATATGTTAATATGTTAGCTAAAATCAAAATATTAATGATAGATTAATTTTTTTCTGAATAAGTGCGATAGACGATTTAAATTTTAAAAATAATTTCGTTATATTTTATAATTTCCGTAAAAAAGTTTTAATTTTTTTAAAATTTTTTATGATTAATATCAAATATTTTATATTTTATTTAAATTAAACTAGAAAAATTTGTTTGTTATAATTATTTAGAATCTTTTTTTTAAAAATATTAATTTAGTTTTTAAGATATAATGAATAAACTAAAATAAAATATCAATGAAGTTATTTTATTTAAAATATTATTTATTTAAAAAAATTACTTCTAAAAGAAGAATTTCATAATAAAATATTACTTTATTGTGCTTAAGAATATCAGATTTGAAGTCTAATTAGCTATTTAAAAATCTAAAATTAAGTATCAATTTAGAAATATGATTTTAATTTTAGAGACATAATTTTTCTGATCTTTTAAAGAAAAAAAAAAGTGACAATTAAATAAAAAAATATGTAAATTATTAGAAATTTCTTTTAAAATCTGTCCTTAAATATCAATTATTAACCACAATTACTTTTTACTTATATATCAGAAATAAAATTTATAAGAATAAATAAAACACAATTTATTGGAAAGGAATTACTAATAAAAAAGTAAATTTTTTATTTTCATAATTAAAAAATTTGTGTATCCTTATCCATATTACTTTATTACTTGTTTTTTAATCAAAGAAAAAAAATTTGATAATAATGTTATGAATTTCTAGAATCATTTTACAACTTAAATACTTTTAGTTTTTTGGTTTCTTTTATAATAAAGTATTTAAAGTAAAGAAATACAGACTAGTATTTTTATAAAAATAAAATATTGCGTATTCTCTAATAATAAACAATCATATCAATTAATATTTGATACATTTTTTTAAATAGATTTTAGCGTTGGAAAAAAAATTATTGATTATGAAAGTGTGTAACTATATCAAAATGTACAGTAGCTACAAATTTATTGTATAAATTAATTTATCTATTTAGTGTTGGTTAAATAATAAAAATTTAATATTTTACTAATTTAACTTAAATATTTTCTATTTTAAACACTGGTTTAGTTAATTTTTTTTAACTATCTATCATATTTAATTCCGATTAAAAATTCTAAGTAAAAAGGAAAATTTTTAATTTTTATTGGAAAAAAACCTTCAATTAATTTTAATTGAGTTTTGTACAAATTCTGTTCAGAGAAATAAAAAAAAATAAACAAAATTTTTTTAAAACAATTTAATTTTTTTTTGATAAAAATAGTCAAAAAAGAAATCAACAAAAATAACAAGATTAATACTAAATTTTAATATGTAAATGCTAATAAAATTTAAATTATAAATCTTAATTTGGATTCTCTCTAATATTTCAATAACTTAAGCTTAAATTATTTATACTGATGAGGTTCCTTTTGTATTTTATGCCAACCTTTAAGTCTTTCCAACACCTTCTTCTTCTCTTGTAGATTATTCTTCTAAAAAATTCAAAGCTATTCCTGATATTATTGTAGGAATTTAAAGCTATCACTAAAGTAATTCTTCTGGAACTTCTTTTCAATTATCGGTATCGAATAAATCAAAAACATCATGTTAAATTTCAAGTTTAGATAATATTGGTATTTTAGAACTTAATGTTTCTATTTTAGCAATAGATAAAACTAATTTTCCTAATATTTAAGTTATTGAAAAAACTTCATAAAATATATTTTAAGGATAAAATTCGAACGTATTATATGAAGAAATTATATTATTTTCTTCATCCATTTAATAAGCAAAGGGCAACAAACAAGCAATAGTCGTACTGAATAGTTGGATAAGCTCAGCTGCTGGCACAACATCATTTTCTCTTTCAATTAATACATTAATTATTAATGATTAATATTATAAAATATAAATTTAAACTAAACAATTATATTAAACGATAACTTGTGTAACTTATACTATTATAGAATATAGCTAAGAATCATAAAACAGTATTTATAATATTTTCTCTTATTATGATACGTCGCTTGAATTAATAAATACTAGTAACTGTTTATTTTAAATTTGTCTAGATAGACACGTTTTATCATAATTTCAAATTCCTACCATTTAAAATATTTAAATTCCATAATAATAAGGGTATCAAAATATTTTTCTTGCTTTTAATAAATTTGAATATAGCTAATAAAAGATTAAAGACAAAGAACAGTTCATTGAATTATCAACTTATGCTATCTAAACTAATGGATAATTTTCCTTCAGTTACTTTGTAAAAAATAAATCAAGATTTACTGGAGTTACTTCAACTGCAATATATTTCTATTAAAAAAAGTGCCTTCAAAGTAATCAGAAATTACAAGGAAATCAATGCATAAATGACTGTATAAATGTAGACCCTATATAACCATTATTTTGCCTTGATTGCTAAATTGGGCAATATTTTTTATAAGATTTAAAGATATGTTAATCTATAGAACCTTCCTCTTCATATATATGCTATCCTGAAAAAAATTATTAAACCTGTGTTTTATGCAATTCTATTTAGAAGTGTGTCAAATGTTAAATGAACTTAAATTAATTGGAATGCGTTTTGTGTGAATAAAATTATTATGTTTACAAAGGTACTTGCTAACCTTCTGTAAGCTCATCAAGTAGTATTTCAGATACCGCTAACGCTGCAGTTGCTATTTCAGTAGTATCTTCTACACAACGTTCAAATTTCATGTTTTTAACTCTATAAAAGTTGAATTTACTATACATGGTTAATATACTTATGACTTCTGAACTTACAATTTTGATAGATTAAATAAAAGGAACTAATCCTCTTAGCTACTTTTAAACTATAAATATTTTCGATAAGCATATATTTATATAATCTTCTTATTAATTAGTAAACTAGTAAATCACTAATAAAAAATTTTAGACTAGTCTTTTGGTTAATGGAGGAGGTATATTGGTATCAATAATAGCGATGTTATTTATATTATTCTCTCTGATTGTTATGAGTAAGTATTACATGATAGGGACATAATTAGGAATTAAATCAAAAACTTAGAAATTTTTCTAAGTCTATCAAAGATTTGCTTCATTTCTGTTATATACTATCAATGAATTAATTCTTTTGGTTTCCAGCTATGCAATTTTTCTTTAATTTGCTGGTTTTATAGAGCTAAAAAATTCTTATTTTTTAGCATTTAGCATAATAACAATAATAATTCTTATTGCCTATCAATCATTGTTTGTGATTTACTACATTAGTCTATTATAATAATCATATCTAGAAAATATTAGTAGTAATAGCAGTCATGAACTTAAATATAAAGAAAACTAGTTTACTTTCAAAAGATTTCTGATGAAGTTTTTATCGTAGGAATATATTCAACAAAAAAAAATTAGTTTATATTTTCCTATTTATTAGTTAATAATTGAAAATCTTTTAATTCCCTTCTCTATCATAATATTTTTTAAAAATTTTTTAGTACAATGTTTATTGTGTTTGGTTTTCCAATTATTGCTTTGCTTGGCATCTATTATTTTACGTCCTTGCATTCTTTTATTAAATAATATTAGACTCATAATAGATTAATTATGCTGGGTTCTAATATTTATTTTTATGATAGTTTTAGGAATTTATTAAGATAAATTTGATTCTGCATCAAATATTGAGGAATAAAGAATATAAGAGATTAGCCTTTTTTTAAAAATTTTAATGATGATAGCTCTCTATTTAAATCCCTTTATCTAAGTTCTTCACATTTTGATTACTTTATTTGAAAATATAAAGTCATTATACCAACGTTACAAACTAAAGAAAAGAAGATTAACAGAAGATTAGCTAAATGTGTAGCTATCTAATTCTTACTCAGATATTAAACTTTATAAATTTTCGAAATCAGATGTTAAACCAAAATTAACTATTGCAAAAAAATAAAATGATTTTTAACACTAATAATCATATTTTTTAAATAAAAATATAGTAAGTGATATAAATTTAGGTGATAATAAACATGTAAATAGTTAGATAAAAAAAGATAGTGATTAATTATGATTTAAATTAATATGCATAATTTACCTTAAGATTCTTAATAGTTAATAATAAACGATAATTTATTAAATATAGGGAGTTTTAGATTTTTTTAAATTAAATAAAAGAATAATTTTTTAACTATTAGTTAAAATTAATATGAATGAAAAAAAATTAGATTAAATATTTATTTTAATTGAAATATATTTTATAATTATAATTAAATATTTTAATTCTTTGTTAAAATAAATAACATTGTTTTTCAATATTTTATCATTTTAGATTTTCAATACTAATTATTTATTTATTAAAGACTTTTCATATTTGCAAAAGAGTAATTTGAATAAAAAAAATCTGTTAGGTTTTATTTGGATCATCAAAAAAATTAAATTTTTTTCTAATGATATTTTTCCTTTCAAATATTAGTTCTTTTAATAAAAAAATATCTGAAATAGCTCTTTCATAAATATTAATGAAATTAAAAAAAATATTTTGATTGTAATCTCATTGAAGTTAGGAATATAATTTTACCTTTAAATAAGCTTTGAACTTAAACTATTATAAAATAAGATTTAAGCTGCATGTTTTTGGAAATAATAATTTAGCTCCAGACTTCGTAAATGTAAATGCTAACTTTTTAATCTTATGTGATAAGAAATCCTTAATTAAAGCTTTCTTATTGAACAGAAATTACATTTTTATTTTTTAGTAAAAGAATTTGATTCAAAAGCTGAGTAACTAAGGGTTTTAATTAAGGAATAGCTTTTATAGCATATGCTTGGTAATATGCTAAAAAGGAAAATTTAACTTCTAATTATATTTTGATAAATTTTATAAAATATTTCATTTTCAATATAAACTTATCTATTTTTAAAAAAAAGTAAGTCAGTCACATTTAAAAATATTTTATAATATATAAATTTTTTCTGATATTAAATAAAAAACTAAAATAAATTATAATTTTAGTTTATTTTAGAATGAATGACTTAAAGAATTTATTGGTTGAAACTTACACATATTCAATATAAGCTATTTTGATTTATTTAAAAAAAGAAATTTATCAAAAATTAAGACTTTGTATTAATCTAAAAAATAAACAATTTATATCTTTTACTAAAAATTTGAGTCTTTAAAAAAAGAACATTCAATTTACCATGAGCGCACTCAATAATTTAAGATAATACTATTGTAAAAGCCTGTTAATCAACAAACCATGTAAATAAAAAGATCATTTTCTTTTTTCATTTATCCAAATAAAATTTTAGAAAAAAAGTAGATTATTAAAATATTTATCAATAAGAAGAAAGCAATTAATAAAAAATAAAAATTAAATTTAAATATATAAATATATTGAATTTTAGCATTTTAGATTAGATCATTTTTAGTTTTTATGTAAATTAATTTGATGAAATTTAATAAAAAATAAATTTCCATCTATAAAAAAATTTGATTAATCAAGTTTCGAAAGAACTTACTTATATGCAAAATAGTTTTAAGCCAAAGAAAAAAATTTACTTGTTTATGAAAAAAATTATCATTTTTTTACTCTTTATTTCAATAATTGTAATTATGAATAGATTTTTCAAGTTTAGAAAGTTTTTTAATTTTATTTTACACCATAGAAAAATTTTTGATTATCTTTATTAATCATAGAAAAGAAAGACCATAGCAATTTCGTATTTAATTAGCTTCTTTTAGCTATTTACTTGATTATTTTAAACTATTTATTCATCATAATTAATTATTCAAGAAAATTAGTTTGGAAAAAAGATAATATTTTTATTAAAAGCACTAATATACTAATGAAATAATAATTTATATCATACCTAATACACTGGATTTGCTTTTATTTTAATATTTTAAGTGTTAAATCCTAGCTAATTTATACTGATGATGTACCATTTGTATTTTATACAATCCTTAAAGTTTATCCTCCACCTACTTCTTCTTATGTAGATTTCTCTTTTAAATAATTTTAAAATATACCTGATATTATCTTAGGAATACAAGGCTTTAACTAATTTAATGTATTACCATAAGGAATTTCTTTTAACTTAGAAGTTTCAGACATATCAAAATTATCATGTTAAATATCAAGCTTAAATAATGTAGGTATCTAAGAGCTAAGTGTTTCTATTTTAGCAATTGACAAAACTAATTTCCCTAATATTTAAGTTATTAAATAATCTTAAGAAAATTTATTTAGTGGGTCAAACCCTTTATTCTATGAAGAAGTGAGATAGTTTTCATAAATAATCTAAAATTCAAAAGGAATTAAAAATGCGATAGTTTTACTGAATGGTTGGACCAGTTAATCTAACTCAAACATGTTTTCTATCTCTATTAATATATTAATAATGAATGATTAATATTATAAAGTTTAATTTACAAGAAGATAATCAGGTTAAATGATAACTATGATTAATTATACAATAGTTGAATTTATTTAAGATACTGATAATAGTATTTATAATATCCTGTCTTATTATGACTCATAGTATTCATCTATAACAGATAATACTAATTGCTTAGTTTCAATAACATGTGCTGATAGGCATGTAAGATCTAAATTTTAAATTCCTGCTATTTAAAATATTTAGATTCCTTAGTAAGGATATCAAAATATTTTTCTTGCTTTTAATATATTAGATTTTAAAATCTATAATCAATCTATGAAAAATCCAAATATAGAATTATCCACTTATGATATTTTAAATAGTAGAGAATTTTCCTTCAGCTACTTTGTAAAAAATTAATCAATGTTTTTTGGAGCTGCTGCAAGTGCAATTTTTTTTTATTAAAAAAAATGTCTTCAAAATAATCAAAAATTGTAAGGAAATTAATGTATTACTGATTGTGTAAATGTTAATCCTGCATAGCCATTGCTTTGTTTAGATTGTTAAGCTGGGTAATACTTTTTACAAGATTTGAAGATTTGTTAATCTATAGAACCTTCTTCATCTTATAAATGCTACCCTGAAAAAAATTATTAAACATGTGTTTTATGCGACATCTAGAGCTGTTTAGCATGTTAAACAATCTCTAATAAATTATAGTGTATTTAATGTGAACAAAATTATTATATTTATAAAGGTATTTGCTAACCTTCCGTAAGCTAATCAAGTAACGTTTCAGGTACTGCTAAAGCCGCAGCAGTTATCTCATTAGTATCCTCTACCTAAGGTTCAAATTTCATGTTTCTTACTCTCTAAAAATTGAATTTGCTATATATGATAGATGTTTTATTAACATCAGAACTTACAATTTTTATAAACTAAATAAAAGGGACAAATCCAATTAGCTACTTCTAATAAATTAACTTTTTTAGCAAATATGTATTTGTTGAATCTATTGAATAAGAATAAAATTAAAAATTAAGTAGCAAAGTAGGTTAAACAAGTTTATTGATAAATGGAGGAGGTGTTTTAGTGTCAATAATCGTTACTCAAATTATATTTGCATCTGTCATACTAGTTAATAAATATTTAAATAAATAAAGGTTCTCATATAGTAAATTAACATAATTAAAACTATTTTCAAACTACCAAAAACTAGCTTGCTTCATTTCCTTTATTATTAACGAGCTAATTCTTTTAGTTTCAAGTTATGCAATTTTTCTACAATTAATTGGATTTTTAAATGCAATTGAAGTGAATTACAAGGCTTTAAAAATTGTCCTTATTTTCATCCTTTCAATCTATTAGCTTTTGTGCTTAATCTATTATATAAGATTAATTAAATGTTCTAGATATTAAAATACTAGTTATTGCTAAGAACTAAATTAAAATATATACTTAATATCATACAAAAGCCACTTAATAAATCTTTTGTTAGAATAGTTTATTAAAAAATAAAATTTTACAATTTACTTCCCAATTTTCTTTTTTGCTATTGAAAATGTTCTTATCCCTTTATCTATAATAATGTTTTACCATAGTTATTTAGTTTAGTTAATTTTATGCTTAATATTTTAAACAATACTGTGTATTTGCTGCATATTTTTAAGGCCTTGCTTTTAATTGCTAAATAATGTTAGACTGATAATAGATTAAATATGTTGGGTTCTAATATTTATATTTATGATAGTTCTTGGAATTTTATAAGACAGATCAGATCAAAATCCTAATTAAAATGTTGAGAATATTTAAAAAATTAGTAAATGCTTAATAGTATTAATGATGATAGCATTGTATATTAATCCTTTTACTTAAATAATTAACATTATTATAGCTTTACATAAATATTTAAAAGATTAATATGATAAGTACTAAGAAAAGAAAAGAAAAATTATGTAAAATTAAAATTACAATTACTAAGTTTAAACTTACTTAGATATTAAATTATTTAAATTTCCTCAATATGACCCTAAAAAAGAACTCAATTTAGTGAAAAAAGAGCTATCTAATTAATTTTACAAATTAGAAGTATCCAAATATAATCTTCAAACTCATTTCAATTAAAATACCGACTAGCTATGATCTAATTATTAGCAATAATCTACTTGGTATATTTATTCTTACTAAATTGATTACTTTTTTCCAATTAATTAAAATATATTTGTTAGATTCTAACAAACTTTCAATTAAAACTCTATTCAAATAAAATTAAATTATATTTTTTTTAATTTATATTTTCATGCAAATAATTCTTAAATATTTTTTTTTAATTAAATTCAATTTTAGTAAATTTTTTGTGATTTTCATAAATTTAATAGTGAATAGATTTATAGGAATATTTGAATTAAATATCATAAAACTTAGCTTATGATTTATTCTTAAATTTTTATCATTGTTGATTAAAAGCTTCTAAATTAAAAAAAAAACTAAAATATATTCATATTTCTTTCTCAGTAAAAATTTAAAATAAATTATATTATTTATTTTTTCTTGCTTTATTTTTCAATTTCAGATAAATAATGTTTGAAATAATAAAAACAAGTTATCAAATTTATCACATTTATTTTTTTTTTTCAATAAATTACATTACAGTTATAGAATAATTTATATTGAATTGATGATTCTTTTCTGAGCTTTTTTTTAGCTTAGCTTTTAAAAGTTTAATCTAAGAAAAGAAAACTTGAGGACAATTGTCATAAAATATATGGTTAAATATATTTTAATACAAACTTACTCAATTATAAAAATCTCTTAAAAAATAATCTTTCTAATGTATAAACTTTAAAGGTTATACCATAAATACAAATTATAAAACAAGTTTAAAACTGAAAGTAGTTTAAACAAACTTATCTGTGAAATAAAAAAGCAAAAACATATAATATTTAATATTAATAAAAATTAATACTAAATTTAGATTATATTTTATTCCAATTATTGAGTTAGTTAATTAGTCAAATCAAATCAAATTATAATTTATACAGATAAATACATTTTTAATTTTTTAGCCATTATAAAATATACAGTATGTTTCAAAGCAATGAAGTATACTTATAAAAAAATTTATTCACCAAAATGAATTAATTAAAAAAATATATTGATTATTAATAACAAAATTTTTGAAAAAAATTTTGTTTAATCAATAATTTTTAAAGTTTTCAATTTAACTTAAAAAAAAGCTCGGTATATGTTTATTTAAATTTATAAATATAAATTAATTAATCTTTTTTTATGATCAAATAAAATAAATATTAACTAACACACCTAAATAGTAAGATACTTTACAGAAAAAATTAAACAATTTTATTACAAGTTTATTTTAACTTAAGCCAATTTAATTTATAAAAATATTCATTTATTTATTCATGTATTTATGTATCATCTACTATAGAATTTATGTTTGATAAATATAAATCACTCTAGCTACATTTTTTCAATGTTTTAATTTCCATTTAAATTATCAGATACACCTTTAGATTTTTTACCACTATTTTAAAGGTCTTCTTCTTCATCTTCATTAATTTCTTCTTCTTCAATCTTTTTGAGTTTTTCTTGTTCTTCTTCTTATTCTTATTATCTCTTTAATTCTAACAATTCCTGTGCCAAGTCAGCTTTAGATTCTTTTGTTATACCAAAGTCTTCTCCTTCTTAATTGCTTAATTTTAATGTTTATTCATTCGCTAAATGCAAGATTGTGATAAAGCATGATTGCATTGATACTCTTTTAGCACTTTCTCCGAACATACTTGGTAATTCAGTCATCATATTAGTGAATTGAATTTATTCCATTTCTTCCTTTTCTTATTTCTTTCTTGTTTGTTTTTACTTCTAGAAATTAGCATGGTTTTCTAAAATTTTAGATCTTAATTTGTCCCAAAGTTTTCTCTTTAAATCTCTTATTTTAACATGATTCTTTTGCTCTTTGAACTATAATAAAAAATTAAGAAACATTTAATGAATGTCTGAATTTGAAATAAATAAATAAATAAATAAATAAATAAATAAATAAAAAAGAATATACTTTTTCTTCGTCTTCTTCATCATTACCATAATTTAAAGCAAATAAGTTTCTGAAGTTATTATTAATATCTAAAGAATCATCATTATCATCTATATTGATTTCTGGTAAAATATTTTCATTAATTGCAGGTTCGTTTTTGTTATTTTTCATTTCTAAGTACATTTCATTAACATTAAATGGATTAGTTAGACCTTCTGTCATTTTCATAAAAATTTTATCACTCAAAAATAAATGATCTTTATCTTCGAATATAAACTTAACACTTTTTAAATAATCTTTAATAGTTCTTTTCTTTTTATTTGCCAAAATGATATCCACTTTTTCAGTCTGTTTGTTTTATTAGCATAAAAAAATAATAAAGAAAAAAAATAATTTTATGTTTCTTAATTACTATTTTAGTATTAAAGTCGAAATATTTTTTATTTTCTTCCTCATCATCACCAGATTTTTTGTTTTTCTTCTTCTTCTTGTTAGTTTTAGGCTGAGGTAACTCATTAAATTCTTCACTAAAAGAATAAAAAACAATTTAAAATTTACTCAATTTAAAGTTTTATTTTTAATTAGTTTTACTTGAATTTCTTATGCATACCTCTACCTACTGTTTTAAGTTTTTCGTCGATTCCTGCAAAATCTAAGGGACCCTTAACTTTTCTTCTCTTAACTATATTACCTTCTTCATCTTCCTCTTCTTCCATTTCTTCTACGGAATCCTCTTCATCGCTTTTGGCTTTATCTTCATCTTCTTCATCACTTTACTTTTCTTTAGCTTCAGTGAATAAGACAACTTTTTTGTCATCTTCATCATCCTATTCTTATTATTTAAGTTTTTTTTCTTCTTCGTCTTCTTCATCCTCTCCTTCATCCACCTTTTTGTTTGGTTTTTCTTAATCTTTTCTCTCCTCTGCTTCTTCTACACCATTTATTGCTTTTTATTTTTCTTCGTCCTCCTCACTTTCTTCTACAATAATAGCCTCTATAACACTT